AGAAACCGAACAGTATTTATATCATTTTTTACCTCTAATACACCACTATGTCCAACTGCCTTGAGCGCGCACACGGCATCCGATGCGTGAGGTGTGTACGCACTCTGGCGTAGTTTAAGCAAGCGCCGGAAGTGATCTCTCACATGTATACGTCACTCATTGCAGTGTGACCCTCCATTATTACTAATTATTTTGACCATGTTGGAGTGCACAGAAAAAATAAGCACACAATTACTTCTTGGTTTGATCATGCTGTAAATCAGCATTTTTTTGCTAATCCGTCCTCCAGTGGAAATTCAAAAAGAAATTTAAAAATAGTACCAAACTCAAAATGCTTTCTGCAAGCCTAAACCACAAAATACCTGCCATTTAAGTAACAGAAAATTATCTTGCAATCAAGTGTAGTAAAATAATGTTTTGATGGTATCAAGTACATGTGTGCTGTTCATAAATGAATTGAAAATTAAAGCCTGGTCTAGTATCAGAAATTTGTTTAAATGAGCAGGGAGCAAACAGGATGAATTGAAATTTCAGAAATTTGAAACTTGAATGGAAGTGGTATCAAAAAGTTCATATAGCTGTAATGTTTAAATAGAAATGCAAAGTATGTGAAGACATACACTACCATTCAAAGTCTCCTATGCTAACTAAGCATCAAAAATACTGTAAAAACAGTCATATTATGAAAATATTAGTTTAAAATAACTTCATATTACCAATGTTGAAAATAGTTGTGATGCTTAATATTTGTGTAAACCATTAGGATGATGAATATAAAGGTTAAATGTACAGCGGTTATTTAAAGTAGAAATCTTTTGTTGCATTCTAAATGTCTTTACTGTCACTTTTGATCAATTTAATGCATTCTTGTTAAATAAAAGTACTAAAAGAAACCGAGCCAAAAGTATTTATTTCATTTATTATTTATGCATTACCTATGTTGATTTTTTTAATTGCAGTTCAGTAAATTTCAATTTAAATTACATTTTACCTTCCTGTGGCATGTGGCCAATTCAAATTCTAACTAACCTAAATGTTACCCACATTTTAGCAGGCCACTTGTGTAATAGTGTGCTGATTAACTAGTGTGCGTTGTTTTGTAAATACCCTTCCATCCTTTAATCCTGGCCTCCTTCTCTGATGTTACCACTGCGAATCACTGCTGCCCTGAACTAGGGCTGAAATTGAGTTTCAGTTTACAGTGATGACAGACATAGATATGGGTTTTACAGCGATGACAGAAATCCACTAAAAATGTAGATCAGTTGTGTGGGCTAATACAACTCGAGTGAACTTGAGCCCTTATCATATTTAATAACAGTTCCACTCAGGCCAACTTATGATAAACACACTGATATGGCAAGTTCTTGGCTTTTCAGTCATGTTTGTGATCATGGTAGACCTGCCAGTTCCCAGGTACGGTCTCAACAGTCTGAACTGGCAGGAAAAGGCCCAGAGCCCAACGGGAACCGAAAACATCAGTCAGGTTGGCACGCCAGGTCCCGCGACCCTCTGACAACCGCCCTTTTTGCAGCTCACACCAGGTTTGCCCTCGGGCTACTAGTAGAAGCTGTTGACAGCAGAAACCGGCGCTCACTAGTCCGATACCCAGCCAGACGTATAGCATTATAACCAGAAATAACTGGAGACCTGAAATCAAACCTGAGGGAAGAAAAAGAAAGAATGTTCTTATCCAGGATATTTGAAGCAGGAAAGCCTCAAGAAAGACTGATTTAAACTTACCGAGGAAGAAGTAACCTGTCGAGAGTGGCAGAAGAGTGAGGAACGTCAGTGGGTTCTCAAAGGAAATGGAGTATTCTATCGTAAGATACGCCACCCCAATTACCAGTGAATACAGACAACAGCAGGACGTATAGATGCTGAACATAATAAAGTAGCGCATGTTCCTATTCCCAATACAGTTTCCTGTGAAAAAGCAGTGGTGGTCCCGTTTTAGAATCACTTTCTTACACACTTTGCAGAAGTGGCGTCCATTCAGGAGGTAGTGGGCATCAATTCGGTCCGGGCAGTCGGGTGAACAGACTGGAATAACTGTCTCGTTGGCACTCTCAGATGGGTACCATATAGTCATCGTGTAATTGCCCAGCGCGTTCCCCATGAGGAAGAGAAAGACGGCAATGTGGACCAGCATGGTGGGATTTCGCGCCACATCTGGACTTCGGAAAACAGTGGGCATGAAGAGGAGGAAGTGGAGGGCAAATGTGACCATGGTTGCAGTGTAGAAGTATGCAGGTGCAATCGTATTGAGTAGTCTGAGTTTTACCATCCTGAACAACATGCCTGTGTTAGATTAATAAAAAAATGTCTTAATTCAGAAAATGTATTTAACTGAAGATGATAAAATCATACATTTCATCTTGGCTTTAGCATCAGCAGTTTATCCCTATGAAAAATAACACTGCTTGAATTAAAATTATGAAAGAAAGTAATTGACATACTGTAAACTTAATTTATACTTTATGATGCTTTAAATACACATATTTTTAAAATAAAAAATACATGGATAGTTTTCACTGTCTGTCAATAAAGAATTATACTGTGCCAACAAGTATCAAGCAAGTTCAAACGAAATTAACTGGAATGGTGCTCACATAATTGAGCACCATTGCAATTGTCTTCAGAGAAAAATAATAATTTGGAAATAATTATTTTTGAAATTTCATAAGTAAATAAGGAGAGGTGTGAAATTTGTGCTCCAGTAGAGAGACAGACAAAATTTCAGAAATAATCCATGTTTCAAACATGTTTCCTAAATACTCCCCCGCCTTCCATTGGTCGGCAAATCAGATAGTCCCGCCCCCAATTCACGCCATTGGTTGAGACCATGTTGCTAAGTAGGACTAAACAAAAAATAAGCAACGTTGAAAGCCACAGTGTTTACACTTTTATATCCAGGAATACATTCATGTATCTTAAAAGTCTCTGCACATTAAACTGTGACCGGAAAAAGTATTTTAAAGGGGTCATATGATGCTTTTTTAAAGATCATTATTTTGTGTATTTGGTGTAACAGAATATGTTGA